TGCCTTCATTGAGAATTTTAATCTGTTCTGGAATAGGCATGAGCTTTTTGAAGGGAAAGGGCCACATCTGAACACTTACGGAGTAAAAGTGTTGATGGATAACCTTTCTTTTGCCCTGAGACCTCAGCCTGCGCAGCTCGTGCAGCCATCGAAAAGGAGGAAGCCGACTCTAAAAGTCTCTGCACCTCCACCACCTCGAAGGATCTCAACACCTCCACCACATCGAAGGATCTCAACACCACCACCACCTCGAAGGATCTCAACACCACCACCACCTCGAAGGATCTCAACACCACCACCACCTCAAAGGATCTCAACACCACCACCACCTCGAAGGATCTCAACACCATCACCGCCTCAAAGGATCTCAACACCTCCACTGTCATCAGAAGCAGCTGCATCATCACCAGTAGCAGCACCAGCAGCACGACCACCACCACCACCAACATCCTCATCCCTAGCCTGCTCCAAAGCAGCCACGCCTTCTTCTTCTACAGCGCCTCTGAAGCCCCCATCCTCACCCCAGGCTACAGCAGACAGGCCTGTGCTGGGGTTTCCTCAACCACCTGCCCCTCCATCAAAGACTCCCTCGCCACCTCCCATGGACCTGTCTTGGGTCCCCCCTGCCACGTCCACTCCATCAAGAGAGAATGGGGACACGTCCCTTTGTTTTTCATCCCCGCCTTCACTGTTAGACCTACCTGAACACTCTGCAGGGCTAATAAAATCGGCGATGAAGACTATTCCTCTCACACCCATATTAGCTAGATCTAGAGTCCTGTCCAACATGCTAAACCACTCCCCATATGTACCTCCAAAACCACCTAGGGTTTCCAATTCACCTACAAAAACCACCTCAGCCAGTCCCTCCCCTAACCTCATGACCATTCCACCCCCACTTCCCCCTCGTTCAGCACCCAAAACCTCTGCCTCAGCCCACCCCGGCCCTAACCCATCACCAAAAACCCCTCCACCTCCCTGCCCCCCTCGTTCAACACCCAAAAGCCACCCACCTCTCCATCCTCCTCCCCCGCCTTCCCCTTCCCCTCTTTTCTCTAAACACTAGGATGCACAGGGTCTCTGCTTCGCAGCCACTGGCAGTCTAGTTAGAGGAGAGACCCGGCTGGGGCCCTGTCATGAAGCCACCTGTGCCATTCCCGTAGTGATAACACAAAGAATACATTACAGAAAGACATCTGGAGTTAATAAGTCTAATCTGGAAAATCTAATTCTTGTTCCGTGTAAGAATCAGCCGACCACAACCGCTGATACTGAAACTTTGAAACTTGCTACGCTTAATGTCAGATCTCTTTGTAACAAGTCTTTTTTAATCAATAATTTTATTTGTTCTCATAATCTTGATCTTATGTTCATGGCTGAAACTTGGCTTGACCAAAATTCAGGAAATGCAGTTTTAATAGAAGCATCACCACCAAATTTCAAGTTTGAATCTGAAATACGGGAAAACAAAAAAGGAGGAGGCTTAGCTGCCATTTTCAGAGACCACTTTGTCTCCCATAGAATGTCTCTTGGGAAGTTTTCGTCTTTTGAATATGTGTCTTTTAAAATACAACAAAAACAATCTCCTCCAATACTCTTCATTGTCCTATACAAGCCACCGCAGTCATGTCACAGTTTTATTGATAATTTTACCGAGTTGCTTTCAGTTGTATGCACAGATTTTGATAGTTTGGTTATTACAGGTGATTTTAATATTCATGTGGATAATGTTGATGACAGAAATGCAAATGAGCTGAGTTCTGTACTTGAATCCTTTGATCTCACTCAGCACGTAAGTGGCCCCACCCACAGCAGAGGGCACACTCTAGATCTGTTAGTTACTAAGGGGGTGAATATTTCAAATGTAAACGTGGTCGATGTTGCTCTTTCGGATCATTTCTGTGTTTTTTTTGACATGTGTTTCACTAACAAACCACCAGTGGACTCTGCAACTGTACGAAGAAGACACATAAATGAAAATACGAGTGAACTATTTATGGGAATGATAAACTTTGAGAATGCATCGTATTCTACTGTAGATGAACTGTTTAACTATGTCACCTCTAGTGTTTTGAATGTTCTGGATACCGTTGCCCCTGTGAAGGTTAAAATAGTGAAAAATAAGCAGAAGGCGCCGTGGGCTAAAGCAGACTCGGTCAGGGCACAAAAGAGAAAGTGCCGGAGGGCCGAGCGGAAGTGGCGCAAGTCCAACCTCCAGGTTGATTACGAGATCTTCAAAGATAAGTTGTGCGAGTTTAACCGGGTGCTACGTAGTACGAGAGAAAGGTATTTTTCTGAAATGATTGAAGGCTGCAGCAACAATCTGCGTGTTCTGTTTTCAACAGTTAATAGATTAACAAACCCCCCTGTTCAAATGCCATTAGAGCTTACTTCCAAACGTAAATGCAATGAGTTTGCAAATTTTTTCAATGACAAGGTTCAAGGCATCAAAAACGCCATTGTCTCCAATCCACAGATAACCATCCAACAGCCAGAAAGGCTCTCTGAGCTAACTCACTTTGCACCTGTAAATGATAAAACTGTCCAAGAGATAATCTCCAGTTTGAGCTCCTCCACATGCAGCTTGGATGTACTACCCACTAGATTTCTGAAGTCTGTTCTGAGCAGTCTGTTACCTTCACTCACACAGATAGTAAACATGTCCCTTCATTCTGGAATATTCCCAAAGGCCCTGAAAACTGCAGTCATCAGGCCCCTGCTAAAAAAGAGCAGTCTCGATGCTACGGTACTTAACAAACTATCGTCCCATCTCAAATCTGCCATTTATGGGGAAAGTCCTTGAAAAAGTTGTCTACCTACAGCTTACTAGATTTCTTATAATCAACAACTCATTTGATATGTTTCAGTCCGGCTTTAGACCCCACCACAGCACTGAGACTGCTCTCGTCAAGGTTACAAACGATATCCGGCTGAACACTGACGCAGGCAAAGTCTCAATCTTAATCTTGTTAGATCTAAGTGCTGCCTTTGACACCGTCGACCATGAGATCCTCTTACAGAGACTAGAGGACTGGGTTGGAGTCGCTGGCACCGCCCTAAGTTGGTTTAGGTCTTACCTTGAGGACAGGAAGTACTTTGTGGAGATTGGAAACTGTGTCTCAGATCATATGGCCCTGACCTGTGGAGTACCACAGGGGTCGATCCTGGGACCTCTTCTGTTCAATCTCTACATGCTGCCGTTAGGTCAGTTAATACGCAGAAACGAAGTTTCCTATCATAACTATGCAGACGACACTCAGATCTATGTCTCACTGACTGCAGGAGAACATGGACCAGTGGACTCACTCCTTCACTGTATCCAACAGATCAGTGAGTGGATGCAAAACAACTTCCTTCAGCTAAACACAGACAAAACTGAAATGATTGTCTTTGGTCCCCAGAAACAAAGAGAGAGCGTCATCTGTCACCTACAGTCTCTCTCCCTAAAACCTTCAAACAAGGTCAGAAATCTAGGGGTAATACTGGACTCAGACTTAAATTTTAATAGCCACATCAAATCAGTAACATCAGCAGCTTTTTACCATCTAAAAAACATTGCCAGGATCAAAAACATAGTGTCTAAAGCAGACTTGGAGATTCTTATCCATGCATTTGTCTCCAGTAGGTTAGACTACTGCAATGGCCTGCTCACAGGTCTGTCCAAACAGGCTGTAAAACAGCTGCAGTACATTCAAAATGCAGCAGCTCGAGTCCTGACAAGAACCAGGAAGTACGACCACATTAGTCCAGTCCTCAGGTCTCTGCACTGGCTTCCTGTGGCTCAGAGAATAGACTTTAAAACAGCTCTGCTTGTGTACAAGTCTCTCCATGGCCTCGCACCAAAATATATTAGTGACATGTTAGTCCCATATGAACCAGCCCGGACTCTGAGGAGCACAGGGACTGGACTCCTGTTAGTGCCCAGAGTCAGAACTAAACATGGGGAGGCTGCTTTTCAGATTCATGCTGCTAAAATCTGGAACAGTCTTCCTGGAGATGTGAGACAGGCCTCCTCTCTGACAATGTTTAAAGCCAGGTTAAAGACAGTTCTGTTTAGCTGTGCATACAACTGAGGGATTTTATATTTGTATCTTTCTTTTTAATGTTCTGTGATTATTTATGATTTTAATGCTTTCTTGTTTTGTTCAGCACTTTGAATTGCCTTGTGTATGAATTGTGCTATATAAATAAACTTGCCTTGCCTTGCCTTGCCTAACGGTGTTGAGTGGTCACACTAGCTCGTGCAAGGTCTTATCCTAGAGGAATCATTCTTCACAGCAGGCGGTAATGGGGGGAAGAGACTTTTCCATTAACTCCCTTTGAATAACCACAGCACATTCAGACGACCTACAAATGTCATTTCAGGCTGAGGTTACATGCACACCCCAAAGCCTGGTTAGAGTGGGCCTGGGAATCATCTGCAGCTACAAATGGCTATACATACGGAACTTTATGGGAAGTATACATTGCCTCTAACAATTCTACAAGAATTCTCTTGATTCTACAGAAAACATTAAAATATGCACTGTACAAAGGAGATTATGGACACAGACTACATAAACAATACTATAGAATGTACAAAAAGTTACAAAATACACAAGACAAACAATACACACACAAGTACAATAAGCCACGAGGCCAATTAATTATCTGTTTCATAGTTTCATTGTATACATAAACACACACACCAATGGTTAGTTTGTCTGACGTCTATTCTGCACATCTCTTGCTGCATTTACGTATTCTTAACGTGAAGGGTTGAGAAATAATTTGGTTATGGAATCTCGTTAGCATGCTTACCCCACAGAAGTGTGAAATAACAACAACTTATTAACCCTGGTGGTTTAAAGTATTACCCTCGCACAGATTACAGGGATTCTTCTCAAACCCCTCATCACTTTTTAATCCCTCTTCGGCACAGTATAAAAGCAAGACTTCCCACCTGAGCAGATCTAAAGTCAGGGATAGGGACCACCTCTGCTGTTGAAGGTAGCGTCAGAATGGGCTGGGACAACATGGAGCCAAATGGAACGGAGGGCAGCAACTTCTACATCCCCATGAACAACCGCACTGGACTGGTCAGGAGTCCTTATGAATACCCTCAGTACTACCTGGGCGATCATTTGATGTTTAAGTTTCTGGGTGTCTACATGTTCTTCCTCATCTGCACCGGATTTCCCATCAACTTCCTCACGCTTTTTGTAACATTTCAAAACAAGAAGTTGCGGCAACCTCTCAATTTCATCCTGGTTAACCTGGCCGTAGCTGGTCTCATCATGGTGTGCTTTGGATTCACGATTGCATGTGTCTCCTCCTTTAGTGGATACTTTCTTTTTGGAACACTGGGATGTGCAATTGAAGGATTTATGGCTACTCTTGGGGGTAAGTGTTGACTAGATACTGTAAATCTGCAACGTGCATAAAATGCCTCATACAAATGTTTAACAGCTCATGTATCTTTGTCCTTGCAGGTCAGGTTTCTCTCTGGTCTCTGGTCGTGCTGGCTGTCGAAAGATACATTGTTGTTTGCAAACCAATGGGAAGCTTCAAATTCACTGGCACTCATGCAGCCGTCGGAGTTGCCTTCACCTGGATCATGGCCGCGACATGTGCAGTCCCCCCTCTTGTTGGATGGTCCAGGTAACACAAATCACTACATTTTTTTGAATTGGATTATAACAGGATTAATTTTAACTATCCAAAGTTAATTTTCCAAAGTGGAATCCTTAGGATTAGTTTATGCTTTTATCATCTGAGAAGTGATCTACCAAATTTGGTTTGTGTGTGTTTTTTTGTCCAGATACATCCCTGAGGGTCTGCAGATCTCCTGTGGTCCTGACTACTACACTCAGGCTCCAGGGTTCAATAATGAGTCCTATGTGTTGTACTTGTTCACCTGCCACTTCTGCTTGCCAATGGGAACCATCTTCTTCACCTACGGCAGCCTGGTGCTCACTGTCAAAGCTGTAAGTGGAGAGAATTGTTTACCAAAACAACTTGACCTTTTGCACATTTACCATGCACAAACATACAACATATAACAGACAACTGTGAAGTGGAAGCAAAATGAAGCATGAAGAGAGGTTGGGAATTGAGTTGTGGAATTTGAAGCAGCATTAAGTTAAGAAAAACAATTTAAATGTTCAATCCATTATTCAGAAATGAAAAGATTATTGCAGAAATACACATTTACAAAGACACGGCTGTCCACCTGAACTAACAAGCTGAACAAGGAGAGCACTGACCCATGTGCCCAGAATGATTCTGGAGGGAGGAGATGCCAACTTCTGAAACTAGAGACATGTAAATGGTGTAGGGTGTTCTACAAACTAACTATGCTATGAAGACTTGTGCAAGCCCCACCTTAAAATTAAATCATAAAATCATGTGTCATGTTCTTTATCACTTCACAGAAATCTCCTACTTTGTTATGGTCAAAAATAAACACATAAACATAAAATCTGTTTTTTGTGGTCATAAACATACATCTGTATGTTTGTGGTCATGAACTGTAGTAAGTAAGTAATGTTTATTTATATAGCACATTTTACAGACCAATGTCCCCCAAAGCGCTTTACAATGTTCAGAAAATGAATCAGAGCCCCAACAAACACCATCCATTCACTCTCTCATTACATCCAGACCTATTTTACACGGCTTTTAGTGGTGGGGGAAACCGGAGAACCCGGAGAAAACCTACTCAGACATGTAAACTCCAATCAGAAAGACAGTGTTCCGACCGGGGTTCGATCCCAGGACCTTCGTGCTGATAAGCGAGAGTGCCACAAATGTCAACATCAATACAAAAACTTTCAAAACAATTTCTATCAAAACAGATTGATTAAACGTTCCGAAGCAATACATCAATACAAACACACACCATTATACACACATACTATAAAGTAAGTCCTGCTTTAAACATATACAGCTCAAAGACTGTAATTGTGTCTGTTCATTGACTATTTGTGGATTGTCTTCTTGCGTGACAATCTTGAGCTCATCCTTTGTACCTATAGTAAGAGACTTGAGTCCTGACTTGTCTCCAGGCAGCAGCGCAGCAGCAGGACTCAGCCTCAACTCAGAAGGCCGAGAGGGAGGTGACCCGCATGTGTGTCCTCATGGTGCTGGGTTTCCTGGTGGCCTGGGTCCCTTATGCCAGCGTTGCCGCCTGGATCTTCTTCAATAAGGGAGCTGCTTTCTCTGCCACTGCCATGGCCATTCCTGCCTTCTTCTCCAAGAGCTCTGCACTGTTTAACCCTGTTATTTACGTGCTCATGAACAAACAGGTTGGTGAAGGTCACATATGCTTCATTCTCCTTTTTTCACTATATTGCCTAATGCCACTACTTTTCCCCCCTCTTTCCAGTTCCGTAACTGCATGCTCAGTGCAGTTGGTATGGGAGGCATGGTTGATGATGAGACCTCAGTATCAACCAGCAAGACAGAAGTGTCCTCCGTCTCTTAACAGCTTTGCAAAGGACGTTTTCGATTCTCCAAATGGATTACTATCTCAACATGTGGACTGCCTATTTTTCTTATTTTTAGGGAAAGATGGCTTCCTTGTGTCCCTTAAGTCCTCTGTGTCCTCTGTTCTCAGGAAGTTGTTTGCGGATAATATTGTTGTATATACATTTTATAATTGTAGAAAATAAATGCATGCATGGAAAATTTGTCGTGTGTCTGTCTGTATTTATTTCATAATGTTTGTGGCATAATTAGTTTTTTCCAGCTGCAATTCCTTTATCAAACAGATACAGAGTTGTTATCCTACTAATTTATGAAAAATTTGAATGGAAAATTAATTTCATTTTACAATTTCAAGATGAGATCTATAACTTCATTACATTATTTTAGGATAAGATGAATATTTTAATCAATAGTAATAATGATGAATGCATTTGGACTAATATATTGAATTAATATATCACATATTCAGTATAAATAATTAATGGTTCAATCAGTATACCTTATTTCTCATGTCCATTGGCTCCCTGTGGAGTACAGAATAAAGTTTAAAATCCTTCTCAACATATAAAGCCATAAATGGCTTGGCTCCTTCCTATCTCCAAGACACGTTAGTGTCGTATCAACCAAGTCGAGCGTTGCGCTCACAAAACTCCAGACGTCTGGTGGTTCCTAAGGTCTCAAAAATCACTGTTTAGCTACCAAGCTCCTTTACTGTGGAATCAGCTTCCCATTTATGTTAAGGAAGCAGATACGGTCTCCACATTCAAGGCCAGGCTTAAAGTCCGCTACTTTAATTTAGCATATAATTAGATAATATATAATATATAGTGTATATATTATATATATATATGCTTTATTATGTTATATATTATACAATATATGTATTATGTTGTGTATTGTGTTATGTTGTATATTATGTTATGATATTATTCTGTATGTTATGTTATGTATTATATATAATATATATAATATGTATGATATATGTGATATATATGATATATAATATATAATTAGGTTTGCCTGGATCGGTTTGCACACCTGGTGTGCAATCCATGAATCTTGGTGCTGTAACCTAGACTAGCCTAGCCGTGGCTGCTGCTGTCTCACCTCCTTTCAGATACGCTCTCTTTATTCAAGGCTAGGTTTAAAACAGTCCTCTTTAGTTTAGCATATGGCTAGGAAGGTAAGACTCTGTGAAGGCTAAACTCCTCAGACTGTCAGTCAAGCTGCATAGGGAGTCAGTTTGCTGGGAGAAGTATGGTAACTTGAGCACTATCCTCTCCTCCTTCCTACTTTACCTGTTTAGCCTTATTAGGATTTTGACTGTAGTTTGTTCATTGCTATTCACCCGTTGTCCCATTGTCTGTTTCATGGTACGATGACGGGACCTCTGAGCCTGGCCTCCTCCATCTACACCTGCGGACTGCCCCGCCCGACCCGCCTGGGAGTGCTTCAGTCCTGCACCGGACCTGTCCACGTTCAGCGGCCACTGGTCCACGTCCTGTAGCTAGCTTAGGTCCTAGATCATTAGCCTGTCCGTCCGGAGGAGCGGATCCCTTTCTCAAATGGGTCTCCCTCCCTGTGGGTTTCCCTAGTTCTCCCCAAGGTTTCTCACTTTTTCCCACTGGGTTTTTTAAGAGTTTTTCCTTGTCGATGCAGGAGGGTCTTGTTGAACAGTTAGTGTCCAACAGAAAGGATTGGTGATGATCAGGACACTTTAGCATTCTACAACATGTATGGACATTTTCTTCTGTGTGTGCTTTATATTCTTCATGTGTTTTAACTGTTGATTCTCTGACCTGTGTTGGTGATTTCAATGGTTTTGTTAAGTCCTCTGAGATGACTTCTGTTGTGACCTAGGGCTATACAAGAATAAATTGTATTGTATTGTATTGTATTGTATTGTATGTTTTCTTTGAAAACAACTACTACTCTGATACATAGAGAGTAGAGAGCTCAGAATTGGACCAAATCAGTTCTGAGGCGGTTGAAGTAGATCCTTTCAGAGTTGGTGCTTTGCACAGCTAGCAATAAATCAGTAGACATCTGACTCAAACGGCAAAGATCTTGATTAACTGGCCAATCTACTGGCCAGTAATACATTAAAAGTTTAATTATAACAGCTTTTGGATGGCAAAGTTGCATTGGACGGCAAAAGGCACTACAGTGACTGAGCGAGTTTACTTCTCAGTGTAAGTTAATAGGAGCCAGAGCAAATTGGATTAGCTTTGTCCATTTGCACTTCCCTATTGGGCCTCATTGAGCTAGAGGGTTAGCATTCTCCATCATTGACTGTAGCGCCTGCATGTTAACCTCACTACATTCCCATAATGCAGTGGTTTATGATGTCTCTTATGATCTTGACAAGATCTCGAGCATGAGTCCAAGATGACTTCAGCCGTCTTTCTCCGCTCTCTCCTTCAATACATCCATGACCTTTTCCCATCTGCTCCCTTCTGAAATCCAGGCTGTTGAAGTCATCTTGAATACCCCTTGATCTCCAAGGGTCTTATGGCCGACTGATAGTGATGTGCTGGTGTTGGAAGCAGAAGGCAGAGGTTTGGTTTATTCACCTGGAGCTCAGAGGTTGATAGAAGAAGGTCGAACAGCTCTTTTCTTATTCTTAATTTCTCAATCTGGAAAAGGATTCAGGTTTCACTTTTACACCAAAACTTTAGGTAGAGAGAAAAAGAGGCGAGTTGGACTTCATTACTTTTCAATAAGTTTGAGTTTGATTGTCTTTCAATTAAACAGGGGACATTTCTGGGGAATAGTAAATTAGTTAAACCTAATTTTCTAACAATTGTTAAAATGACGTTGGATGCCCTGTCCACTAGGTGTCGCTCTATGCGGTTGGCTGGGTAGCCTGTGCAGTCTGATATGAACCCATGGATCATGGGAGCGTCATGATGAGACCATGTCCCACTTCTCCTCTTGTTCCTCTTCCTGCAGCGCACACATCTTGTCACACTTGAGAATAAAAACACTTGTGAACAAAACTCGGGACTAAAGATGTGACTATTCTGAAATGTCCTCCTCTGTTGGACGAATAAAGAATCTCTTAAACTTAATTCTGTCTGATCAGAGGCACGGGAAGTTTTTTTTTGTGCAGCACAATTCATACACAAGGCAAATCAATAAGGCGCTGAACAAAACAAGATAGAGACAGTCACACAAGGATTTAAAATCATAGATAATCACAGTACATTAATAAGAGTGAAGGTAAAATCTCTGTTGAACTGTTTTAACCCGGATTTGAACATTATCAGACAAGACAAGAGTGCAATATACTGACAATTACATCGTTCAAAAATGGACAAATTGCTTGATGTGGAGAGAATATGAGAGTGGTGACATGTTACTCTACCGCTCGGGCGTCTATACCGCTGCTTCACATAATGCCACTGTTTTTTGTTTTTGTTTCTTTTTAGATATGATTAACCCAAATTGTGCTCCTGTCCTCTCTACAGTTTCCCTTGCTGTTAGACATTAGCCAGTCTAAACAATATTCAGGCGACGTCCGCAACCTGTTCTTTATGGTGCTCATGGCCAATTTGCATATGACTCTGTTCAAGTTCTGCTTGAAAATAATACAGACTTATTACAGACAGTAATACATAATATGTACTATATGATAACAATTAATACATGTACAGTAGAGACCAAAAGTTTGGACACATGACTATGAAATTCGTAGATTCACACTGAAGGCATCAAAACTATAAATTGACTCATGTGGAATTATGTACGTACAAAAAAAGTATGTAACAATAGAAAATATGTCTTATATTCTGGGTTCTTCAAAGTAGCACCTTTTACTCTGATTACTGCTTTGCACACTCTTGGCATTCTCTTGATGAGCTTCAAGAGGTAGAGACCTGAAATGGTCTTCCAACAGTCTTGAAGGAGTTCCCATAGATGTTTAGCACTTGTTGGCCCTTTCGACTTCACTCTGTGGTCCAGCTCATCCCAAAAACATAAGGATTGTGTTCAGGTCCGGTGACTGTGAAGGCCAGGTCATCTGGTCCAGCACCCATCACTCTCCTTATTGGTCAAATAGCCCTTACACAGCCTGGTGTGAATCTACAGTCAATAGTCATAAAAAGAAAGGAAACTCATTGAATGAGAAAGTGTGTCCAAACTCTTGGTCTGTACTGTAAATCCTTATATTCTTTCTAAAAAATATAGTTTTTCATTCAAGACCCCCAACATTTAGCTTTGAACTTTCAAATAAAGATTGATGGATTGTGTGGTTTATTGATGCTCATTCTAAAAGAGACAAGACAAACAAACAAACAAAATTAAACAAAATTTTCTGTCTAAATTACAGCTACATTTAGCCCTTATGTTAACACTGATCACGCCTCCAAAAGACGAGGCCGAAAGGTGAGCGCAGGGTTTCAGTGTGAAAGGAAAGGCCGACCTGGTTTTTTTTTTGTCAGTGTTAAAACCCCTATTAGAACGTGGAAGATTGTCCGTGGGGAAGGTGCTCATACATTATTTGAACTTCTACCTTCTCCTTTTGAGCAGCAAATATGTCTGTAACAACTTTATTGTTGTGATTTTATTTTGGGTTTAATGAGAAAAAAAAAGAAAAGATTGACATTGACATTTTGAAGAGTTTTTTTTTGAAATATGTAACATTTGTATTTTAAAAAGGAAGCATTTATATGTTTTCTACCACTGAAATATAAATATACGGAAAAAAATATCCGGTGCTTCAGTGCTTTGTGAAACAGTTCAGAATCAGAAATCTTTTTATTGCCAACAGTAACAGAAAGTCTCAAACAAGAAAATTTCCCATGCAGCTTTCTCACAAACCGGTATTTTCTTCGGCACCGGTTTGAAGCAGGATTGACTTGTTCACAAAAAGAATCAAAGTCTAAAAATCTCTATAATCAGGCCATATTCTACCCACAGTGCATTATGGGCGAATTGCTTGAGTTGATAGCGATCAATCTGGAGATCAATCTTTTGAATATAGTCTGGCTGGCCTTCTAAACACAGAATACACTTGGGGAAATGTACTTCAGCGCACTCAATTTAAATCCACATGCCAGGCTTGGCCCACAAAGTAATTTTAAGATTTTGGATTTATTTGTGAAAAAGTCCAGATCCTGCCGTAGAGAACCACGAGTATCAGAGGTGAAAAAAATGGCGGTGAGAAAGTTTTCTAGATCCAACGTGGGGCGATGTGTTCCCAGCATTGTAGCATCAAGACATCAATCCCATGCAGTCACTTGTGCGGTCACAGACAAGGTCCAAAGGAGAATAACAGACGTAGTGAATCGTTCAGTATGAGCAAAGCCTTTCGTTGCCTGTCTCTTCAGCCATTTGTGCTTTAAAAGACTGGCATAGTGGTCGTGAGCTTCTTTATATTTACCTTCTACCTTCAAATTAGAGAAGCGGATTGAGAGGTGTTGTCAAGGAGGCCATAGATTAACCTCTGAATTAGATTAGAGAAGTCCGTCGAAACCCTTTAATCCCAATCAAGTGATTTCACCTCAAATACTATTAGTGCAGTATACGAACAAAGTGGAGGAAGATTTTGATCAAAATTGCAATATTTACAGAACAAAGCAGGTTATAGGATCGTGAGAACATGCATCAGTTTTTCTAACATATCTTTTATCTCAGAGGTCTCAAACACAGTTGTAAATCTAAGTTGTGACTGAAACGAGATTTAACGGCACCTGCGTCACTCACCGTCTATCCAGATTTACTCATCGGAAAGGTGTAATTTTCATGATTGGATTACTTGTAATCTTCTCACCCCACATAACCTGCTGCGAGAAGTTAAAGCCTACTATCACCAGAAGGACGGCGCCGTGATCCTGTCTAAGCTTCATGCTCTACCTCTTGAATGAGCCATAGCCATAAACTTTCAATTTGTGTGATTTTTTTGGCCACAGAGTTAGTTTGTAGAAAATAGATTAGAGCCCAACATAACATAACATTACATACAGTAAGTCTAATCATAGAAAGTGGATTCCCCTACTTCTTGTTTAACTTAGCAAATAGCAAAAAGGTGAGGTCTGAGGAACTGAGGTTGTGTACAAGTAACCCAGAAATATACTGCCAGATTGTGGACGGCTTCATAAATGAGCATGAGGATTTAATTCAAAACCGATGAAGATCTTTCAATATTGGTGTAAAATGAACTATAGTCACTGGATTAGAATAAGTGAAGGATTATTTATTTCACAATATTCATTTGAATAACAGAAGAAGAATGCATGTATTTATCAAGTGCATCTGAAGCGCTCATTCAGATGAACGAATTATTCAAGATTTTACAGAAAACTACCTGACTCTAGTCTCTACGTGGGATGTAGGTCATATGAGACAATGGCCGATTTTATGTTTTGTTTATGCTTTTTCACATTTGTCTTGAGTAGAAAGGCAACTGTCAAACCTGTTGTTCCAAATCATAAGACCCCAAAGAGCCAATTTACATTTGTAAATCAGTTCTCCAAAGTCCATAGAGACGATTGTTGTTATTATTGTGGGCTGTATTATTTCAAATGATTGGAATTTGAAACAATTCATACACGCTTGTGCTTTTATGGAGGGTTGGTTTAGTCTATCCATTCTGTCCAGAGTTCACCAAACCAGTTCATTAAGTGAAATCAAATTTTTTATTAAATTGTTGTTGGCCTATTTTGTTTTTGTGAGGGAAATGTAGCTGTATACATGTTTGGTTGCTCTCAAATTGACATACCAGCGATTTGTTTTGTCCTTCAGACAAATTAGATTTTGTTTTGATGTATTACAATGTGACACATTTTCATTTGATACACTCTACAGAGTAAACAAAGTACATCATGTTTATCTTGTAAACATGTAATTTAATAAATCCCTTATTATCTGCGTTTATTACGATACAAGTATGGCATAGAGAGGAACTGCAATGCCAGGGCACGTTGATGTAATACTGTAATTCATGCAATAGGAGGCCCCATCGGCCCCTACCGGCCTCTAAAAAATAGTCTTGACATATTTTTCTAAATGTCCATCCATCCATCCATCCATTTTCTTCTTAATCCATTTCTGGGTCGGGGGGTGTAATACATATTTTTAAACAGAAACATGTTTCTTTCTACACTTACATTTACAAGAAATTCCTATTTATTGTCCGATATAACAGTTGTGGCTGGACTCGTAATGCTGAAGCAGTATTTCTTCCTGCAGCTCTACCACAATGGGCCAAACATGTTATTCAGTTATTCAAATTCAAGTGAATTGTTGGATATTGATTAGTGCCAATATGTTATAATATCGTTTTGACTACAAATGAAATTCAAGTTTACTGATGTTGTTTCTATGAGGAACTATTTATCTATTTAATGTTATCACTTTATTTCCTGTACACAATCTGATAATAGCCATGAATCTACGGAGTTTGTGACTGGCCTCTTTCTGAAGACTTATACTTATCGTGAGCTCTCCATTTCCTTTCAACCAATCCACTAATCTAATTGAGCTAATTTACGGATAAATCCCACAGTATATAACGAACCGACGCCTCTAGCAAAGATTAGACACCTCTAGTCTCAGGTAGCAGCTGACTAATACACCTAAACAACCAGAGATGGCCTGGGACGGAGGCTTTGAGCCAAATGGCACAGAAGGAAAGAACTTCTACATTCCCATGTCCAACAGGACAGGGATTGTCAGAAGTCCTTTTGAATCTCCTCAATACTACATGGTCGATCCCTGGATCTACAAGCTGCTGGCATGCTACATGTTTTTCCTCATCTGCACTGGCACTCCTATCAACGGTCTGACTCTGCTGGTCACCTTCCAGAACAAGAAGCTGCGACAGCCCCTGAACTTCATCCTGGTCAATCTGGCTGTAGCTGGTCTTATCATGTGCGCTTTTGGCTTCACCATCACCATCACCTCTGCCATGAACGGCTATTTCATCCTGGGGCCCACTTTCTGTGCGATCGAGGGCTTCATGGCCACACTAGGAGGTACAGTAAGAAATGTCACCAAATGAAGAAGAGATGTTTTTATGTCTTCTGTGAAAGGGCTTGCATTTAACTTTAATATCTCTTGTCCGTGCAGGTGAAGTAGCTCTCTGGTCTCTGGTCGTGCTGGCTGTTGAGAGGTACATCGTTGTGTGCAAACCCATGGGAAGCTTCAAATTCACTGGAGCCCACGCTGGTGCTGGAGTGGCCCTCACCTGGATCATGGCTTTGGCTTGCGCTGCTCCTCCACTCTTTGGATGGTCCAGGTACATTATGAAGCTTAGTGATACAACGCAAAAGGAAAGAGGATTCTCTTTCCATTTGTATTCTTTCAAATTGAAACTATTGATCAAACATTAATGTATAATAATCGTTACACAGATACCTCCCAGAGGGAATGCAGTGCTCATGCGGACCTGACTACTACACTTTGGCTCCTGGATTCAACAATGAGTCTTATGTCATCTACATGTTTGTGGTGCACTTCTTCATCCCTGTCTTCCTGATCTTCTTTACCTATGGCAGCCTTGTGCTCACTGTCAAAGCCGTAAGTATTTCATATTTCATTTTATCAATGAACCACTCAATGTATAAAAATGTTGTATCAGTTGAGATTACAAAATGTGGTATGTTTGTGAACTTTAGGCAGCAGCACAGCAGCAGGACTCAGCTTCCACCCAGAAAGCAGAGAAAGAGGTGACCCGCATGTGCCTCCTGATGGTGATGGGCTTCCTGGTTGCCTGGGTTCCATATGCCTCTTTCGCAGGCTGGATCTTCTTAAACAAGGGAGCTGCTTTCACTGCGATGACTGCTGCTCTCCCTGCTTTTTTTGCCAAGAGCTCAGCCCTGTACAACCCTGTTATTTATGTGCTCATGAACAAACAGGTATGTGTTTCATTGTATGTTATCTTTTCTTATGAAAATATTCATTAATTAACATATTTTTCTCATTTGCCTTTTTAGTTCCGTAACTGCATGCTCAGTGCAGTTGGCATGGGAGGCATGGTTGATGATGAAACTTCAGTGTCTACCAGCAAAACAGAAGTGTCTTCTGTATCTTAAACATCTTTACAACATCAAACTGGACATTTTTAACAATGGCATCAAGACTGTCAAAGATCCCCACAAAAAAGTCTGTTGCCAAATGGAAAAAGGATTTTGGGTGGTTTTGAGTGGATGACACAAGGAATTCTATCTGTCAACTGTGTAAATGTAAATATGGGCCTGTGTACACGGTGTAAATGAGGCAAAGTACGTGTGAGCCATTACTCAAATGTGCAGCTTTGGCGGCGACACTAAAGGTCTAACTGTGGATGTGTGATCACCAGAGCTGTGTGCATGTACTTGTGTGGAGCGAGTGTGTCCTACTGGACGGTTATTTTTATGTGCATTCAATCAAAAAGAAAAGATAAAAAAATAGGGTCAATAGATAAATCCTGCATGCATTGAAAAGAAACTCTGTTGTATGTCTTTTCATTTTCAAGCTCATTTAAGCAGATTGTATCTATGCTATAAATAACACATGATTAGGTCGTCTGGAAGCACAACTCGATTCAGGCACACACAACAAGGAGCACTAGATAAACAGCTTACACTTTACTCACGGTGTAATGATGTAGAGGTGGTTAACTGTGTTTAGACATTTGCGGTACATAAATAATGTCTCACATGGATGAAAAAAACGTAGAATTCAGCCTCTGTTAAGGGAAGGGGATAGTTCAAATTGCAGTAGTGAACAGGGATGGACATGTGAGCCTTTTGTATCCCCAAATTGAACTCAGTGAGCTCTAATTCAGAAAAGGTCCAGGGAAAGAACTATTGAAAGACAACTCAATAATGCCACCTCAATAAAATATATTTTTTAGATAATTAACATAATGTAGTCAAAGTCACCTTGTAGTACTTAAGATGTTTAAATACTCAAATTCACTCATATACAGTATATGCAAGTGATACTAACAGTGGCAATATGCTAACAATATTTCACTGCTACTCGAAAATGAAAACAAAAACTTTGTTACATATAGATGTCAGCTCTGAGTCAGGATTGAGCCAGGAAATATCAGGTTTTAAGGACGACTGTCTGGAAACATATTAAATGCTTATTTGATAGAGTAGAGCTTAGAAGAATAATCACACATTTCCCTTCACCAAACACGATATATTAGAATAAGGTAGATCCAAGCCAAACATGATCTGTGACAAAGGGAACAAGAATTCTTTACAGAACTGGATCAAAGTGAACATCTTTTTACAAGTAACACCCATACTGTTTTACACATAAATATATGTTGAAGACATAAGGATTAATTATATATAAGTAGACTCTCTCCAGGAGCTAAAAGGCCACCCATGCCCCGACATAACCCTCTATTTCCTGCTGATAAAGTGACCTAATTGTCACGCTGTGGCCTCATCCACTATAATTTTCTTCAAAGCATTGGCATGAACACCTGCATGTGCATGTGCAGGAGTCTTTGTTAGGGGTAGATAGAGATGTAGATTTGTTCTCTAAGTATGTGTCTAAAAAAAACATATGCTTTTTTACCATTGTCTGACTGTTTTATCCCTGTTATTTTTACTAAAATGATTCTTTTTTGGTAAAAGCCACATCAATGAGATTACATGATTGACATTTTCAGAATTGTTTGCATTACGTTCTACAATATCAAAAGTTTACATATTGTAAATTAGCACTTGGTACAAAGACCTTTAAAATGAATTAGGGCAATCATTCAAGGCATCCTTCCTCAAGCTTGGAACTCTGGCCCATGACTCCAACAGAACTGGTGTAACTGTGCATGAGGCTTGTAGGCCACCTTGCTCTCCTGCCATTTAAAATCTGCCTACAAATGTTCTGTTAGATAGTACGTAATCTTTTGCTGATATTGCCATCTAAGTGCACCAGTTTACTCCATAGCATGGGACTTGGGAGTAAGGGTGGGGTTCTCCTTTTTCTTCCAAATTATGGCAAAGCAGTTCACCTTTAGTTCAATCAGAATTTGTTATTTGCATGTTGTCATGGCAGAAATTCCATGAACATGGTTTGAGCATAGTGGGTGAATTGTGATGATTAACAAATGGTTCAGAGGGATTTGTTTTTTGGCAGGAAGGTATTTGGGATGATGTTTGAATAAGTTAAGTTACAGTTTGTTAGTGGGTTTAGTTATTAGACGTTGACTAGATGTCCATTCTGATCAAGCGTGTGAATCCCATTGTGGGTCAGAGAGACTGATCAGGGTCCGAGGAGCGGACTGCAGAAGCTTTCTCCATTTGCAAATGCCTCATCTTTTTACTTTCATAAAACCACACAAAATGCAACGCTGTTTCTATGGGTCATTAAGGAAATTTCCACAACAATGTTTACAAATCAATATGCAACTTCAAATGTTTTTTATAGAGTAATGCGTTACTCCTTGCAGAGTAGTTGTTCAGACCATAGTTGCACAGGGCTTATTTTATTTGATGATGAAAACGTCTTAACAAGTTCTTTGGCCTTTGTTCTGGGGTTAATATCCCAAATTGCGGAAAAAAAAGATGCTCGACGGAGCTCCCATCCCCTCCTGGGTGTATGAACATTCCCATGGTGTTTACATTTAAGAAAGCAAAAAAATATTCCATCCATCCATTTTCTACCCCTTCATCCATTTCTGGGTTGGGGGTGGCCTGAGATGCCACCCAGCACACATATCACCACCCAAAACAATATTATATAGGAAAATTCACTTGCTAGGGTCTTGATATTTGGATTTTTTGAAACTGCTATGGGGATTTTGAATGGGAACATTTTTCTACCAGAATCTGACTGGGCTCCACTTTTCAGGTTCAAAGAAATTAATTTACTGACTATACTTTTATTTCACTTCAAACAATGAAAACATTGAAATACATCAAAAAGGTACTTGTAAATGTCTTGTTCTATGCTGTAACACCTCCTACAGTGTTTGTGCGTGCGTTTGGATTGTGCCTAAACTATTGGACAGATTTATCTGAATTTTGGTTCATAAGCAAATGATGTGGTTGGAGATGTGGCGTTGGTGAGGCATATTTTATATCTTTTATATTGTTATAAAGCATAATATTCAGGCCATGGAGTAAAACAGGAAAGAATTTATTTATACTAAAATACAAAACACATAATCATGTCGTCCTACGACTTCATATTAACATTTCAATTCAACCAACACCTGCACAAAACAAATCCTGTGAGTGTTGTATCCCCCAAAAGTAGCTTGGAACATAATAAGAATATCAAAGACCAAAGCAATGGCTCCAAATGACACGTGATCAGTGTGTGAGCTGGTGATGTGTTAACAGCCTGAGAAAGGATTATCCACTTATGAGAAGACACATGATGTGATTTTACCTATACTCTAGAACATTTGTTGAAGGATTTCCATAACAATTGCTCACCAAAAAACATAATTTTAAATAATGACACAGTTGCACAATAAGCAGGAGGTACCCATGCAATAATTAAAGATTAATGCCACTTTCACAACAAAGTTGGAAACTTTATTGTTGAAAGATGAATGTGAACGCTTGCTCAGAGCTTCATGTGAAGAGATGGGCCCATGACAGCATATCCGTAATAATATAAAACATTTTTATACAAATTGGGTTCTTTGAAAAAACAAAAAAGAACAATGTGTGTGTGTGTGTGTGGACACCCTATTTTGAATGGATGAAATTGCCTAATGTTGACTTTACTTGGAGTGTGAGATACGTTTAGTGCCAAAACGGGTTGGAAAACACTGGTCTTAATCACACCTCGTCGACAAAGATGACTGGCCCCTTGGTCCTGAGGCTGGCCTCTCTCTGGGGAGCGGCAGGTTTGCTCACATGTATCTGTGGCAGGACGAAGGCTGAACGCGGCTGGACATGGGGCTGCATCTGCAGCTCTCTCTGGGAGACACTGTTCTGTCTGAAGGGCTGTGGGCCAAAGTCGTCCGGCTGATCGAAGCTGCTCTCGCTGTACAGCCTCTGTCGCATCTCACTGGTGCGTTTTCCAGAAGCGCTTCTGGTTGGGTATCTCTGACCGCTCTTGTACCAACCGGTCTCCTTAAACACAAACCAAATGTTTCCAGCCCACAGGACGAGGTTTACGAAACCGAAGACCTGCACACACAAGGGTACTCAATATTATTATTTTGTTCATCCACAAAATAATTATCATCAACATCATCATGTTTTAGAGGTAGGGGAAACCGGAGACAGACACAGGGAGAACATGCAATCTCTACACATTCTCAAAACAATAGGAGCATACAGAGATTTCATAAACAAATGTGTCCAAAACTATTTAATACATTTGATAAATATAACCCTGCCTTTGTTTATCACACTTATCAAGTACATTACGACAGGTGAGAATTGCTGCAAACTTGAAATTGTTTGAACCCAAGATATTGGCAAAACAATTGCATTGTGTTAAACTAAATGGGATTCTTCTGGCATAGCTATTCTTTTTCTAATCATTCAAGAAATTATTTAATAACTTTCTAAATATCAATATCCCCCCCCAAAAAACACAAATACAGCCGCAAGCAGCGATGAACGGCGCTGGCCATCAGCCAACAGCCCCAGGCAAAGGAAAAAATGGGGCTCACCCAATAAATGTTTTTGTTGACCAGAAGAGAAATTGCAATCTCTACATGGAAAGGCCTGGATAGACACAGGATCGAACCCACAACCTTCTTGCTGTGTGAGGCATAAACACAGCCCACTCAGCCATCATGCTGGTTGTGCTGGATGGGCTAATATAAATATATACTTATGTCATGACTTAATTCTATTGTACAGCGTTATCCCATTTATTCCTTAATCTCCCAAGCGTAGTCACAGTGCCTTTAATTCACCTAAGGTCACAAAGCTAATTTAACACAGTGATTTGCACATTCATTGGATCACCTTCTCATCTACAGAGTTTGGGACTAGCAGAAAGGCTCAATGTGTATTTATGTATGACAAAATTTCCTTGAAAGAGAAGAAGTCTATAAATTTCATTCAATGCTAAAACCATAAAAAGAAACCCTCCCTGACCCACTCCAGCCCCCAGACAAGGGGGCCAAAAAGTGGGACTTCATGGTTAAATAAGTCAGTATACAAATAGACAAGTCAGTGCCTCTCGTTACATTTCGGAAGCTGAATAGATGGGAGCCTGGTTTACAGTGGTGCAGTTTACTAGTGAAACTAATTTCACATTAAAGATGTGTGCTTTGCATCAATGAATCAACTAAACAATCAATTACTAAAGCACTGTATATCCACTGACTACTGTATTTCCTGACCATAGAAACCTTCACTTATCCACGAGGGAAATGACTTGTTCACAGTAGCTCACTCATGATGCAAGTTCAAGTTTCAAGATTATCCGTTTCGACTTTTCTATGCATTAGACATTATTGTGCTATTGGCCTTCATATACTTTCACACAAGTAGTTTTTTGTTATTGATTCACTCAAGATTTAGTTAGAGAGCGATCTTTCTCTTTCTTTCTCGAGAGGGAGCCAAACGCCTTTGTTCAATTTGCTGATGCGGCACCTGAAGCCCGCCTCCAGGAGGAGCTCAGCAGTGACAGGGGATCAAAATGCATCATGTCACAGACCAGGCAGTTATGGTCATAACTATGTAAGTTACTGTAGATAAATAAAATGAATAAATAACTTTGTAATTACCACAGAGGTGTTGAGGCGCGCCCAATGTGACTCTTGTGTGATGGTGCACTTGTTTTCAGGAGCTCTGCAGGCTGAGATCAGCAACAGCATCTGTGTTGGATTTGTGGCGTGTTTAATGTTGGACAGCGCTTTAGCCCAACAGCAGGAGCTCATCAGCCACAGAGAGGAGAAAACCACTGTCACCACAAAATCCTGCACAAGAACAACAGCCATCACAGCAAATCAAATCATGTTGTTATAAAACAAGAGATTATTAAAAATGACACATAGTTACATCTATATAATCCTATCAGACACACAATAGTATAGTAAGTAGGTCATCTTTATTTATATAGCGCCTTTCCTAGACCAGAGTCACAAAGTGCCATTGTTGTGGGTTTGTGTCCTCTCACTCCACACAGATGAGCGCCTGACCTATTGTACCATGTTTTTAGTGTTAGGGGAAACCGGAGCCTCCAGAGAAAACCAACACAGACACCGGGAGAACATGCAAACTCCCCACAAAAAGGTCTGGAGGTGCAATCGAACCCAGGACCTTCTTGGTGTGAAGCACAATCGCCAACCCCTGTTTACAATCCAGCCTGCTGTTTGTCTAACAACATGTTCTGAAGTAAGCGATGTGTTTCCGTATTCATGTCATTATTCATCAGCGTCATTATTTGTAATCATTAATTGCATCTATTCAAACATGAACTTTTAAATTTGGAGTTGATTTCTTTCTTCCAATTGTTGAGTTCCATGGATGTTGGAAGTGTAAGAGAATGGGAAAGATGGAACCACAAGTAGAGACTGACCACAAGGGGGCCACGGTTGTTCCTCAGGTATGAGTTCTGATAGAAGACGTAGACCACTGTTGCCAGGAGCGAGTAGAGAAACGCCAACACCCCCACCATCACAAAGAACTGTGCCGACAGAGACATGTCCCCATCCAGGAAGTAGACCTCGTGTCTCTTGGCTTCACACAGCGGGGCTCTGAAATGCACCTGCTGCAGTCTGGAGGGAAAGCATATGTATCAAAGATGGATGAAAACACATGATGTGCAATCAGGGGGCCCGCAGGGGGCCCCTCCAAAGGTCGCCTACACAAACGATGAGAATTAGAGTTACGTTAGACTTAAATTGTACTTTTTTGCATAATCTTTTTTATTATTAATATTATTATTGTATTTTGTAATCAAATCAAAATGCAGTCACTAAAAAACATATACTAGGGAAAAAATACACACATTCACACAAAGATACACAAACACACACACACACACACACACACACACACACACACACACACACACACACACACACACACACACTTAATGTACTAAACAAATTGAGGTGCATTCAAAAGAGTAAAAGAAGGTATAGATTAAGAAAAAAAAACATTCATGTTGAAAATATTTCCACATTAGCTCAATAATTTCTTTCACCCAAAAAATTTACAAATACATACAACAAGGAAGTCAAACAATGTGATGACCTAACACAAAAAGACATAATCGTCTTCCACCTATCGAATGCCTCATTGATATACAACTTATTATAGAGGTTTTTTTTCTTTCTTTCATTTATTTCTGTGATTGATTCTAACATCTCATAAAGTTGCAGGCATCTTTTGTCTTTAATATTACATTTCGAGAAGGGTGTTAATATTGACAAATGAGAATACAAAACTTATTTAGAAATTTTTATATGATAATAAATCAATCAATGTTTTCTTTTAGACTATAGTTTCCTATAATGTAACTAGACCATATACATACCATACATTTATCTTTTTTAAATTAGTTGTAAAAACGTTAAAACCTTGAAGACATGCCTAACTAAAATTTTATTTCCATTTTGGTTAGGTTATTACTATGTGTTTTATGTAATCTTATCATTGACTAGAATGTTGAAATTGTTTTGTTTTCAGAACAGAACAGAGCCTGGTAGATCCTCCAACGTGTGCACAAAGAGCCACGTCGAAGGGGCCGGTAATTACACCCTTGTTTTGTTCTGACGGGGGGCTAAACGCAGGGGGAGACCACACCATCTTAATTTAAGCAGTCACAGTTTGACCATGGCCTATCTGAACCACATCTGATGTACATTTATGACCTACTTGTCCTGTACAGTAAGCGTCTTGCAGTGCAGATAGAGAAATAACACGGAGGTCACATGATCACACATCAGAGCCGCCGCTGCCTTTGAAGACTGCCCAATTTAAAATCAGGAAGCTGTGCCACCAAACAGGAGGTCACCCCATTTTGAAATCCCCCAAGTACAAAATGTCTTGTTGCATCATCAGACCAGCAAGGCCCTTAGCAATGGAGAGGTTCTTGTTATTAATCTGCATTTTTAGGAAAAGTTATTTAAGGCCTTTTTCGCCCCAGCTTTATTCTTTGATGTTTACTTTCTTTGAACTTAGTGCTTCTCTCACACCTAATTATTCATGCTATTCTTGTTCTCTTTTAGCCAACAGGGAAACATTTTTGTTGTTGTGTGAAAAAACAGAATGAGGCAAACAAGCCCAGTTACCTGAACGGGTATCCAAAGTCAATATTGATGGTGTGGTTGCTCTGCCTTTGCTGTGCACAGTCCACCTTAACCTGGAGTTGCCCATAGTAGCCTCCACAGGTTGCAAATGCGCACACTGCAAAAATCTGAACACAACAGATCATGGGCGCATCATACATCCATATACATTATAAGATTAAACAGTCCTAAATTGTGAGTATGAAATTGCCTTGTTCCAAAATGTGCCACTCCCATATAGTGTAATAATAAATAAATACAAACAATTAACAATTTCAAAATGAAAGGTGCAAGATTGAATGATGAATATAAGGAATTATAAAAGCTGGGAAAGAAAAATATCCTTTTATTTGATGCCTGTGAAATTTCTTCTAACACATGCTTTGATATTGTGACTTATTTGCAGCCAATTAATTATTTGTATATTTAAACAATATATTCTTTTGAGTTTGCCATCATATAGTTTAATCCTCAATACTGACTGGATATTGTATATTACTGTGTATGTATACGCTATATCATCCACGTATAAAAATAGGTCCATAAAAGGCCTATAGCACAGCATCGAGGAATTGTGAATAATTTAAACGTGTCCAAATACCAGTGAGTCTAACTGTGCACGAGAGGGTGTCCCAGCAGTCACATAATAACACATCTCTCTGTGCTAAACTCAATCTAGAGCTTGCGGCACATGCAAAATTAAAATAAATAAAACCATTTAATAATAAAACAAACTTGAAAGGACTGTAAAATTCCATGAAAACAATTGAATACATTGTGAGCAGAGAGAAAAAAAAAGATCTTACCGGAGCAAAAATAACCATACACATTTAAAGTCTTGGTCTGGGGTGCACCTCTTCAATCGGCTGGTTTTCTGGAGGCTTTTCTTCAGCTGTGAGACCACGGATGGGGAGAAGAGACGAGAGCCTGTGGTGCCATCTGAAGAGGGAGGGGGCGACTGCCACAGACTGGAGGTGGGACTGGTATTCACTTCTGTACAAATCACATACATTATTTTTTTATTTTTTTTCCCAATTATAAAAAAAATACTTGTTCCCCTATGGATCAAAGCTAAAATTATTCCATAGACTGCTTTTTTTCTCTTATACCTGATAACATGCAATTTAGTCTCCACCTGTGTTGTTTTTTCTATTTAAAGATTCATATTCAACTACTACTTAAGTTGGTCACTGTTATTATTTAGAATGTATTTGGCAAAAAGGTAAAAAGAAAAAAGGGAAAAGGTCTTATGAGTTTTGAAGGTAAAGTTGCGCCCTCTTTTGGTCACTTGCCTGAACTGCTGGCTCTTTAACTGAAGCAGGAGTGAAGTTGACATTTTTCTCCGCTCCTGTTTAGAACATCGGCCAAAACGTCGTATAGCTACTATTCCGTTTTTACTTGTAATTTACAATAAATATCTTAAGTTGTGTCATTGTCATATTCTGCGGTGAACAAGATTTGCTGAAGGCCTGTGAAGAACTCTTCTGTGCTTTATGGGGTATTGAAGCTGATAATAAAAATGCCATCACATAAACATGAGGTCCATAATTTACAGTAATGGCGCCAGTAATACAGTGATCTCTGGCTCTAAAGTGCTCTGAAAGAAAGAAACTCTGATTAAATACAAATTGAGAGAGAAGATTCATGTGTTTGCTTTTCTAACGTTTGCCCTCAAATAGTAGAAGCAACAGATATCTGGATTCATGTTATTAGTAATTAACTAACTAGACAATTATTCATTTAGATAGCGCTTTTCTCAGAAAAAAATAATGCACTAAATTATTTTGAGTTCAATAATTGATAAATTGTTTTAATTTCTGAGTGTTGGGTCCTCTGGTTATTCTGCCAGAGATGTTCTACTGTGGTATTGCATTGTGCTGCATATTATTCATTAATTCATGGACAAAAATCCCCTGAAAACATGTCATAAGTGGCATTGATATTGTCTGATATTGTCTGTAAATCTAGACATGAGCCGAATAAGGAATGACTAATCCAATTCCTTCATTCTCTGGGAACGTCTATAGCTCGTGCATTTTTTCAGGAGCAAAGCTAACGTCATCAGAATAAATGCCCATATGAGGACATTGGTTCCTGCTAGGTTTTGTTCAAATTGACTTTTTCTACATTTGGAAAACACTATGGATGTGTTTATCTATAAAGAGTCTATGATAACAATACATAAAACTACAAAAATGTATTCTGTTAGGTGTGTGTGTGTGTGTGTGACTTCTTTCTGGATTCTTGACCAGACTGTTCTTCTGGGGTACCATGTTCAAATGTAAAAAGAGGGCTTTTTGTGTGCCTTTGGACCTAATCTGAGTCGATTTGGTGCACTGAATGAAATTTATTGTCATACACTTTATGTGAGTGTGCAATATCTATGTGTTGACACTAGATTTAGCAAGCAAAAGAATTTTAAAAATAAGATTGTTTCATCCATCAGTATTCACATTCATTTACCTTTATTGGAGGGTTTAATACAGATACTTGCCATTTGTCAGTAATACACCTGGTGCAATGTCCCCATTAATCACATATAAGTAGTGGGGACATTGTGTAAATTATGCAAATAAATTTACATATATTTAAATTAGGTCCCTATTAATCATGTAAAATAGATTTTTCCCAAGTCCCCAGTTGTCATGGCCCAGCCATTACTTCATTAATTCTGATATTTAAAGTTGTGTATAAGCTAAGCTAGCCATAGTGGTTATACTTGATTTTTTTCATAGCTTTACAACAGGGGTGCTCAATACGTCGATCGCGATCTACCAGTCGATCGCAAAGGTAGTATTGGTAGATCGCATTAAATAAATGAAAAAATTACACATTCTAAACGAATATATACAAAAAACTCCGGGCAAAGTGGAGATTTTTGAAAACTCCGTTAATGCATTTGTGTGTAGACAGAGATAACCGGAGTTTTGCGTTCTCGCACGCCACAGTACCCCCCTAAATTCCTCTGATCACTGAAGCATGGATCATACTACCTTAAAAACTGTTCGCTGTGATGCTCGCAGCAGCGAACATCCTCGCTCCACATCAGAGAGCAGCAAAGTGATCGCAGGGACTCACGCTCGAAAACAACCAAACCAGGACTAAACCAGGACTAAACCAGGACTAAATCAGGGCTGAGGACGGGGTCAGTGCTTGTAAACATACGTCTTTAGTCTTCTATGACTGTAAAAGTGCCGTTACCGGCATCTGCATCAAAGCTCCGCCTACTTCTGTGTTTTTCCCCAACGCAGGACAGGACGTAAGAGACGCACATGTTTGGAATGTTACGAATGTGATTGATAACGCAGATGTGTGGATGCAAATTATTTTATAAACTGAGGAGGGGAAATATTTGGATTTAAAAAAAAACAGGCATGGAACATGGACATGGCACCACAGTAAAATTACATCTGTGTTTTACTCAGTAATGTTTTACTGACACTTAGGTGACTGCACATGCGCAAACAACCGCGCTCAGTGCAGGAAAGCTAAACCACGACAAACTTGTCAGCGAGTTGCCACCAATTTTCTGGACTATGCATCCCTGGCCGATTCAATTCAGTGCAAGTCATCAGAGTAAACTCGGGTAATGACAAAAAATGTACATAGGTAATTGTGTTGTGTTGTGCTAAATTGGCTCATGCGGTTTTGCATGTACATAAACATACATTGTAGGTATAAAGAATATTTTTTGAAATAAATATATGATTTGCATTTTTGTAGTAGGTAGATCATTTTGACTTGATCCTTTTATAAGTAGCTCGCATGCTGAAAAAGTGTGAGCACCCCTGCTTTACAACATTTAGAAAGGCTGGTCCCTACATTTGATGAATAAAAAGTTGGTCCCCACAAACCATATAAACCTGTGTGTGTGTGTGTGTGTGCGTGCGTGTGTGTGTGTTTATGTGTAGTACAGTACAGTACAGTACTGTATATTCTTTCTGAAAGTTGTTTTTATTTAACTTGGAGATTCTGCTTTTAAGATGATGTTTGGACAGCTTATCTGACGTCATCTTCTCTCCAGCTGGAACTCACAAATGCCTCTGACAGAAGTGTGCCTTGAATGAAACAACAACACTTTTATAATTACTTCAAACTCCCCAGGCAGCCCTCCGACGCTAATGACAAATTAACCAATCATCATTTGTTTTCAGCAAGAGCAGATTGGAAACCTGACAGAGGAGGCACTGCCATGTGTCAAACAGCAATAACTCCAGAGGTTCAACTGAGGAGAGAAGTTACTCTACAGAATGTTGTTCTTCTGTTCTTTGAGAAGAACTACACTCAAACTGTGAGGCGTTTGACTACCCTGACTACTACCACTACTACTACTACTACTAATGATACTACTACTACAACTACTACTACCACTACTACTTCTGCCACTACTACTACCACTACTACTACTACTACTACTACTACTACAACTGCTACTATTGTTAATACTACTACTAATGCTACGGCACTCCCGCTATAGCATTAGGGGGAGTCAGCCCCAGAGCAGGTCTGTCCAGTAGACATGTGAGTGGCTGGTGTAGTGCAGAAGTTGCCGGCTCCTACAGCCAGAGCCCTGTTTGCCATCAGGTCGTGATCCCAGGGGGTCGGGGTACGGCCCATAGTGCAACACGTGGAGGTGGGGTTGGTTTTGCACTACTACTACTGCCACTACCACTACCACTACTACTACTCCTATTCCTGCTACTGCCACTGCTACTACTACTACTACAACTGCTACTCCTGCTACTACTACTACAACTGTTACTACTACTACTACTACTACTACTGCTACTCTGCCTTTTAGACATCATGAATCACCAGCCACTAGAGAGCAGTACACATCCATGCTCTTTTGTAGAAATCCACTGAGGCACAGTTATGAAGTGATTGAAACATTTCTATAGTCCAATTGTCAAACGGCTCTTTTGTTAAGGTGCAGAACAGGCTAAAGCATCTGATCCACTGCTGCAAATGGAGAGATTAAACCTATTTGTGTCCCGATAGAGAGTCCAAAGCAGGTCTGGAGTAACCGCTACATGAGGTTTTCAGCACGGTTAAGACTCCAGACTCTTTCTGCATTATTAATGAAGCCTATTCTAGCTTCATCTCCAACCCCCTACCAGAAAAAAACAAGTAAAAAGCAAACACAAAATGGATTTTTAAGATGCTGCAATGCATTTCATTTCATTTCACTATTATTGGAATTTGTGATTAACAGTAATTGAAAGCAGAACAGATTGAAACAGATTGCTGACTATTGTGGTCTACTTGTGGTTTTTACTTTGTTTTGTAAAAGATTCCTATAGTTCTTTGTTCATTCAACACAATACTAACCACCACAACCTTAATCGGCTAAGCATTCTATTCCTCTGCCTACATGTATCCTAGCGCCCCCTCCTTCTTACACACGCCCGTTCCTGGATCCAAAGGCATTCCTGGAGTTGCCGTATTGAGCGTCATCCCACAGTATTTGGTTGGGTGAAGGCTTCTCAGGGAGCCTGCTGTAGTAGCTGCATTGCTGACCCTATTCCATCAATCTCCCATTAAAACGCTTGCAGCATTTAAATATTTCAAAGAGCTCCCCGGTCTAACTCCATGAAGCTGTGAGCCTCTAAGTGCATGTGTGTGTATGTGCCCTGCCTAGAATTCCTTTTGCGATAAACACAGCCACTGAACTCAATAGTGTTGACTAAGACCACAGCAAATACATGATTGATCTAAATTGAGAGAAAATCTGCATCCATACTAATCAAGAAATAATTGTGCATTAATCATGGTGCACAATGCAACTACGTCTAACAACAGTAACCGTTAATCAAATAGTAATTTTTTTTGCTTTCCATAAAAATAAACTTTTAATTATTAGCAAATTATTTTTGTCTTGCTGGGAATTAATCAACTATTGTGTTCTGACCAAGAAAAAGGTTGTAGGAAATAATTAGAACTGTCGGAAACAAAGTAGAAAGATGAATGTTTTTTTTCCCACACAAGAGTCAGAAGGCTTTGGATATTGCTTTGGCTCTCAGTGCGAGTTAAAATGTAGAGTTAGAATAAGGCCTATAAATAAAACATTGACATACCATTTCTAAAAATAACTATGCTATACTTGCCTTCTGTGTTTGATTGTGTGGTTCTAATGCAAATGTATACCCATTATATCATAATAATATGCTTATGTTTGATAGTAAAAAAATTGAGCCTCATAACAAGACATCTTTACCAGCAAAGACCAAACCCAGATGCAGCGCTGTGGTTTGTTCAGAGACACTCTAACCAACAGAGGAAGACACAATGGACACAACTCGCTGCTGGAACGACCTGTTGTGGTGAGCTGCAAAACCACAAGCACGTCCATAAAGTTAAATCCCTTTTCGGTCGAGAACAAATACGGCTAAAGAACCAGGGAAGTACGATCATTAGTCCAGTTCTCAGGTCCCCGCACTCCGCTTCCTGTGGCTCAGAGAAAACAGTTTAAAGCAGCTCTTTTCACGGCCTCACACCAAAGTACCATGTGTTGGTACCAAATGAAACAACTCGGGACTCTGAGGAGCACAGGGACTGGCTTCCTACTGGTGCCCAGAGTCAGAACTAAACATGGGAAGACAGCCTTTCAGATTTATGCAGCTAAAATCTGCATCAGTCTTCGTGAAAATGTGGGACAGGCTTCTTATCTGACATTGCTCAAATCTAGTTCTGTTTAGCAGTGCATATAACTAAAGGATTGTATCTTCACTGTCTAATATGCAGTGATTATTTAGGATTTGAATGCCCTGTAAGGTTTCTATTTGGATTTTCTTTAAGCACTTTGAGTTGCCTTGTGTGTGAACTGTACTATAGAAATAAACTTCCCTGTCTTGTCTAAACAGCAACCACTGATTATGGCTTGATTCAATGATACAGACACTATTGTTTTTTGTCAATCGGTGCCAAAGAGTGCCAGCTGTTTCTATTTATGTTCAGTGTATGTGTTTTTTTTATTTTATATTAAATTGTAGAGTGCTCTTTATTCTGTTGGTGAACACAGAGTACCTCTTTTTGCAAATGTATTCCAATGTGGTTTTTATACTGCACATGGCCAATAAAATGAATCTGAATCTGAATGTGAACTGAAAACAATAACACATAACATCATGCTTGTGGGCCGTTTTCTGCAAAGGGACCAGGACGTACTGGGAAAGACAGAGATTTTGAGTGAGCAAAGGCCTTGACGACGAAATATGATTGGATCTTTCAGTATAACAATGAGACGAAGGAGTGGCTATGGACAATGCGTAAAAATCATTGTAACTATTTAGATTTTTCTTTTCTCGGTTAAGAGCACGCCTTTTGCCAACAACAGAGCACCACTACACAACGAGAGTACACATGTTAAGTTTATTCACATGATACAATATTCTCTCTCTTTTTAGTTCCTGTCAATATTGTTGCTCCTCCATTTTGGACGAGCTCAGCGCTTTTTATGAAGGCTATAAATGCAGGGCGCTACAGTAGTAAAGCCTGGGGTGACAGGCGCGTGGATCCGTTTTTCAGCATCACTTAATATTTCTGATTTTGTTGCGCAGATGGAAGTAAGCAATTTTGACAGATTGATTCATATATGTGCTGTTGGATCTCTTGGTCTGTAAACCCTGACAAGTAAAGTTTACTTGAAAAAACCATGGAAATAAATTGCGTATTAACTTCACTTGAATTCCTCGAGTACATACTTTACTTGATATTACCAAGTAACTCAAGTTATTGCAATAAAGTTTAAATTTCTACTTATGCTCCGACTGGGATTCGTACTCAGAACCCTGTAGATGAGAGGCAATGGTGCTACCCACTCAGCCACCAGGACACCCTGCCATTGTCACACCTGCCTCATTAAAGATTCTACACGTCAAAATGTCAAAAGTGAGGCTTACTTGAACAGAAACAGTTCAATTCAAAGAAAACCCTGAGTAACATAGGCAAGCTTTAAATAAACTAACAATAAATGAGTAATATTTACTTACTGGGAACAATCTATTTAAAATAACTTAGATATCTGAAGTAGGATTGAAGTTAGGGTTTACAGTGGTGTTGACGGTATTGGTGAGTTGTTTGGAGGCATTTGGAACCTGTACAAATAGCTCTATTTTTTTCAGGGTCAAGGAGCAGGTAGTTTAGGGTCATCCAGGTCTTTCCAATACTCACAAAGTCAATCTTTTTTATCAGTCACAGGCAAAATAAAAAGGTTTTCTCAAGATAAAACAACTGGCCAATGAAAAAAACCATATTGTGTTGATCTCAACTCAAGATCGCTCTCTAACAAATCTTGAATCTTGGCCACCACAGCAAGAAGGAGCCTGGGTTTGATTCCACCTCCAGGCCTTTCTGTGCGAAATTTGCATGTTCTCCCAGTGCCTGTGTAGGTTTCCTCTGGCAGCTCTAGTTTCCCCAACCAATGAAAACATTAAGAATAGATAAAACTGTAATGAGAGAGAGAATTTATCGTGAGGGTCAGGGGTTGTGATAAACTTTTGATCATTGTTTGGCGTCTCTCTTCTGGGCGGCACGGTGGCTGAGTGGATAGCACTCTCGCCTCTCAGCAAGAAGGTCCTGGGTTCGAATCCCGGTCGGACCAGGGCCTTTCTGAGTGGAGTTTGCATGTTCTCCCCGTGTCTGCGTAGGTTTCCTCCGGGTACTCTGGTTTCCCCTACCGCTAAAAATATGTAAAATAGTTCTGGCATGCACCTCCTGTACTGGTGACCCCGCTCCCATCTCTGTGTGGAGTGAGAGACAAGTGCCCAAAAAAATAACAATTGTAAACCGCTTTGAGACTCAGCTCTGCAGTGAAAAGGCGGTATATAAATAATTACTTACTTACTACTTACTTACTTCTGTCACCACTTAAAATATTTGCACTCCATTTTGTAAAGCGCTTTGTGTGACCTTGGCCTGTGAAATGCGCTATTCAAATAAATAATCTCCTTTTCTGTCCAGGGATGATATAAAAGGGACTCTGCTTTCTAAGAGTGAAACAGCCCTATACTGACTTTCCCACACTAGATATTCAACCATCCATTGTGACTAAAATAGATTAATATCATTACAAAATAGTAAAATAGCTAATACTAATGTTGCCTTGATATAAATATACAATGTCCCTTTTTAGCTAAATATGTTGAAAGAACCTGTTTGATCTGACGTCCTTTGAATCAACAGACATTTCACAAATGGGAAAAGCTTGATGCAAACAAATAAATACATCCCCCCACCCTTTAATATAGTGAACAATTCCAAACCCTTCACAATTATTACAGGTTTTATTTTTTTCCACCTTTCCATTGCTTTTTACCCATGCAGAGAACATTCCCTCAATGCCCTGCTTCAGAATATACACAGGATAAATTAAACATTATCTGTTCAGCGCATATATAGACTGACAGAGTGGGAGAGAGAGAGAGAGAGAGAGAGAGAGAGAGGAAGTTATGAATATATTATCAGGCTGTAATTTTTTGATGGCTGGTGCGTCACTATCTTTCATACAGCCTATGTCACTCCCTAGAGACACACACACACTCACACAGGCACACACACACACACACACACACACAGACACACGTTTTTTTGATGCTGCTTGGTGTTATAATGTCAGATGTGTGTTTGCCTTTGACATTCCCAGTAAAGACAACGCTAACGTTAGAAGTCAGATGAATAATGGATGGTCCAGCATGGGGTCAAGCTGAGTTTAAAGATTATATTATTGCTGTGTGCATTTTCAGTCTCATGCTGAACAATGTTTTCAGGCATAATCGCACCCAAATGAATATTGCCTGATGTCAGAGTATGAGGCTGCACAAGAGTAATACACACAGATACAATAGGTCACATTTGCTTGACATTATAATCTAAAGTGAGTTGGAGGAAACAAAAATGAATCCATGTATGAACCCTTTTATGAACCCTTTGGGATATAAACATTTGCCGTCATCTCTTCACTCAGCAATTGCCAATTCCAAACCATGCCCTGATTTAAATTATGTCGAGATGGTGATTGGAGGTTTATATACTGTACGCAAAGTCAACATTTATAATCAGAAGGAGGGGCTTGTTTCTTCAAAATCACCAGGAATGTCTATAAAACTGTTACAATTCTTTTTAAACCATTATGGTGGGCAAAAGATATGTTAAATGTTCAACAATTCAATGTTTAATTACAATTCAAACCACAAAAAAAGCTTATCAGATCCATAGACTGTATCAAAGCACAAGCCTATAGTGTAGGCGACAACAAACACACTTGATACTTTAGTCACAGCTGCCCCGGGGCAAAGTGGACTGTATCCCAGTCTGTTTATTTCAATGGTTTGAACATGGTTTGGTTCTGAATCTAAACTGTGTAGAGGCTTTTCCTTCCATTCGATCCTAGTTTCTTACCAAGTTAAACATTAGAATTTATTGATTGAAAAATTATTTGGACGGGAGCTCACAAATTACAACTATAAATGGTTGAATGGTAGAGGTAGAAGGTAAGTCAAATTAGAGGTTTTATGAATGCATATCAAAGCCTCTAATTAAGGAAAAGCAAGGGGGTTTTTTCTGAGATGCGTCTGAGTTTATGAGTTTGTTGTGCGAGTGAGTTCCAGTGAGAGGGCGGTTGTGGCCAAGGCTTAATTCCCCAAGGTTGCAAACAACAACATCACTTTGGCTCCTGGACAGAGGTTACAATGACCCTGATGGTTATAGTGGTTTGGACATTGGTGGATAATGTATCATCCTCCATGTGAATGTAGCTACAGTATATATAGTTTTAGGAGAATATAAATAAAAAAAAGTTACCCACTCTTATTATTTCAGCATTTCTTTTATGCAATGAAACGTTTTATGAACATTTATAACAAATTAAACACTATTTTACCATATTGATGCATCATTTTCTCACACATTTTAGCTGATTAATATTCGGTTTATGAAATGACCAAAACACAATTGCTCAAATTCATGGAAGGACGTACATGAACTGTCGTTGCAAACACATGCTCTTAAGCCATATTTGTTGAGAATTTTATTATGAAAAAGAGGTTTGTGATGTAGGCACCAAGAGTATGAAGATTTAATGTGTACACACTGTTGTGAAGGCAAAGGCAAAGCTTATCAGTCAATTATTCATGTGAAAGGTTTGGAGTGGCATTCTGCTGAGGTTTGTGCTCGATTAGTTAAAAATAAACTACATCAAATGGCCATTGAGGCATTAGTTATGAATGTTATTATTGAATGGAATGGCTTTTGTTCATGTGGAAAATAATATATATTATTTTAAGTAGATAAGTAGGAAATGTGTTTATCAAATTAGGTGATATGAGAAAAACAAATGCTGAAACTCTAAATAGACTATGGTTATTAACATGACCCTGTAAATAGCAACACGGATGATTCAGACCTGGTTCAGATTTGGTTCAGACCTGGTTCAACATTGTGGCTAAGTCCAGCTTGTGACTCAGATATTCCATAGCAGTTGTTTTTTGTTACAACTGAAGACAATCAAGTATTTTTGAATGAATGAAGGACAATAACAAAGTGCGGTATATATTTTACACATTGCCGTTACCGTGTGAAGAGCAGCATTCTAACACTTCATTACCTTTAAAGCTCATATAGGAAGTAACATTTAGATGATGTGAAGCGCAGTGGCACCTCTGACTGTCAGATTACGTCCGGTCAAAGTATGCTGCTGCGCTTCTCTGCGAGGGCCACAGTTTGAAACCACTGTGAACAAGTAACTGAGCCTGTATTTTTCACCTGGTTCTCTGATTTTGTGTTTTTCTCAGAATAAGCAAATGATCAATACGAGAATTTTATGAGGGACTTTTGGCACCAGCATGAGCACAACAGTGTTTCTGAGGACATTGCAGAGATAAGTCAGCAGTGTGTTGTAGAGAGGGTGGTTCCTTTGATCAACTGCAAAAAGAAAATACATTCAACAATAAAAACAAAATAAAGAATGAAAAATGAAATGAAATGAAATAAACAAATCAAGAGAAGGCTTGGACAAATAATCGTGCACACCATCAGTCTGACAGATTGCTACTTATTAATACGTTTTCTAGAAATTACTGGGTATTTGAATAAACATATTTATTCAAAGTCTCTCCTCAGAAAAACTGGTATATCTTTCTTCATAAGTTTGTTTTAAACTATTTGGGTTACATGGATTATGTTTTGGTGGCAAAGGATTTAGAGTCACATGACCTCTTAAAACAAAGCAGGACAAATCCCAATAACAACAACAATGATGAAGTTCTGTGTTTGTTGCGACAGGTTTTTTTCAACACCATATTTAAGTGAAAACAGAAACCAATACTATAATCTGCTTGGGTACTTTTCAGTCTTCTGAAAAGGTCAATGCTTCAATAGTTCAATATATGTGGCTACAGTGACTAACTGGAGGTAAGTGTTCATGGTCCACTCCGCCCCTCGGGAATCAATGATACATTTGAAGTGATGCAAACATCCTGCTGCCCCCAGTAAGGCTCCCAGTCTGAAGGAGAGTCCCGTGGCAGCCATCTTAGGTGTAGCTCTGCAGACCGTAGAGAGGAGCTCCAAACAGGACGCATCCTTCACTCTCACTTTCTGCTCTTGCTCGCATTTCAGCACCACGGCCAGCTCCCGGCTCCGCGGACACGCGTGCGTTTGTACGTGCGCGCTCTCTCTCTCAGCAGGCTGGGAGAGGCCATCTCCCGCTTTCACCTTCCCTCATCTACGCTCTCGCCCCTCCTCTTGCTCCTCACATCCGCAGAGCTCTGACTGGACGCTCAAACACAGGAGCACGTAAGCGTCAACGAGTGCTCGACGCAGGCGGAGAATGCTCATTGTGAAGCAGACTACGAGTACTGCTGACATATCCCAGCGAGCGGCCTATATCTGCTCTTTCCCGGGCTTGTCCGGGTCCAGCCACCGACACAAAGCACAATAACCGCAAGGATCAGAAGAGGGACGAGCCGCCCGCAGAGCCAAGATGCTCGACCCGTCGTCCAGCGAGGAGGAGTCTGATGGGATGGTGGAAGAGGAGAGTAAAGAGGCGAAGGCTCCTCAGGCCGGCTCCCGCGTCTCCCCCAGCAGGACCAGCAACAGCTCGGGTGGTCTGGCCCCCAGCAGCGGCCGCAGCAGCGCTCGCCCGACCAGCCCGAGCCCCTCAGCTGTAAGTGAGGAGAAGGAGGACCTGCAGATGCTGCAGCGAGAAGAAGAGGACCGCAAGAAGAAGCTGCAGTTGTATGTTTTTGTCATGCGGTGCATCGCGTACCCTTTCAACGCCAAACAGCCCACAGATATGGCTCGGCGACAGCTGAAGGTAAGAACAGAGTAATAAGCACGCGCTGACAAATCACGTCTCTAGTATTGCAGATGTTGTCATTGATGACCTACATAAGGCTGAACACACCAGGCCTGTCCCACAGCACATACATCATGCCAGTACCATTTCTACTTATGCAGTTGTGGATTTGACGCAAAAGGCTGAATGTCCTGTGCATGGCACGGGCACAAAGCGCATGAGAGCGAGTGAAAAGGACACATGGCACTGCAGAGCTTCATTCACAAGCTCGCACTTAAATCAATGCCAGCAGCATTAGAAGGGCGTTCAGGAGCTGCTCCTTGCAGGCGGACTGAAACAACACTCTTCTTACACTGCTCAACCCTGAACTCCATGCTGCTTTATATGCCTGCCTATACTGGCCATGTCCCAAGCCGTTAGCCCATCACTTATCCTGTCAATCTGGCCTCCCAAGGTGACTTTTAGGCATGGACCTCTGGAGATATGCAGCTTAATAGCCTCTGTCCTTTACAGAGGAGAGAATGGCTGCTTCTAATGGCTCAAAGTCAATTAACTGATTGCATTTTGCACATATGAAACATGTTAGGCTTTGAGCTTTGACCAGACTGGACCCCGTCAGAGTGATGTTCAGACCCAAGCCCACTTCCTGGTTTCATGTTGCTGCTGAGCGTCCCAAAGGAGGGAGCCACTTTTGGGTCATACTGTCCTTACTGTCAAAGTCACCACAAGGAACCATGGACTGTACAAGACCGCTTTATAGGCCTGTGTTTTTCAGACACAGCGATCATTCATCTTCCCTCTGTCTATTTAGTAAATAGCTTTTTGGATGCACTTCAATGCAAACAGTTAGGATGCCAAAAGGACAATAGTATCCAGCAGAAATATGGATGAGTGTACTGTTGCAAGAAGGAAAGATATTTTGTCCAAGCATTAGGTCCAAACATTGCATACAGTGATAGCGGTGATTTCCCGTGTGTTGCTTCCTTTTGTGTAACCAGCAGACTATGTGTCTTTCCTTGGACACAGTTAGGCCATATGGTGGTTTTTTTGCTGAGTCATGCCCTAAAGTGTGTAGGAGGCTCAAACTACAGCCTATCCAACCATTTGTTTATTTTGTAGTGTTGATCTGAGTGGGTTTATGGTAGACGGTTGACCAGAATAATAATTATCTTCTACGTGTGGCATGGATGTCCTCTGTGGGAGAGTGTTTGGCTATACGCTTGGACACAAAAAATAAAAATAATGATGATTCACTTGTAATAATTAAAGTGCATATGAAAAAAGGCAATACTGTATAATAGAAACTACTTCAGGTGTGTGTGGAATATTCTACACATGTATTGAACAAAACATAATCATTTATTAAGAAATATTCTGAAAAGAAAAATGAACCATTGAATTGTATCTGTATGAGTGATAATGGTTAAGGAGGGAAAATATGAAATGCAACTATATCAAAATCCCACCCTAACTACAGTGATTCAGTTTTGCTACAGCTCCTAGCGTGCTACTGTACAAACATATGAGTCTAAATGATCCATGTCCCTTTCTTGATTGATCCCAGAACTTGCTGTAGCATTAAGTTAATGAAAAAACATAAAAGGCCATGCAGAACATGCAGAGCGAGCTTCAGAATAATCTGCTATTAAGAACATTGGCGGTTTAATATGTTTATACACACACATACAGACACGCATTAAACTTAACTATGGGCTGCTGCTGGTTGTTGTTGTTGAACCATTTGCATGTTTAATTGCAAAGAGGTTTTGCATTAAGAAGGCTTAACGTCCCAGGAGACCCTTAGACTAATGGCATAGTTCCTCTAAGAATATAATGTGCGTAAGAAATTAGCTTTATTGACACGTATGGATTGTGTTAGTTTAATTTATGGAAAAATACACTTATTGAGATTGTTCCAGAGGGCACAATAACCCTACTGTAAGGAGTGTTGTTATGGTGTGTTATAATACAGCATAGTTATAGTATAGTGCAAGTGTGTAGAGTACCCCAGAGAGACAAAAACATAGAGTAAGAAGAAATGTACGAGGAGGCCGCCTTTAATGAGTATATGACGGTTCTCTCAGTTTGTAGTCTTGAGGTTTTCTTAGTACCTTAGAATACCTTCAGAAATTCAAATGTTGATTCAAATTCATATCTTTTAATATCCTCTTCTGTCAAAGCCAAAGACGTCCTTTTATTTGTATGGCACATCTCATACAGAACTGCAGCTCAACAAAGCAATTCTCAAAAAGGACAATGAAAAGATAAAAAACACTGGCAAAAGATAAGAAGTCTAAATAAACGAGTCTTTAGATGGGCGACGGTGATATTACGTGACTATTCTTCAAAAACATGCATTGTATCAGGCATTTTGTAATTTCAGTAAGGCATAAAACATGAAAAAACTGTATATAATTATGCATAAACAGGAGGAAATATGACTGTATTAGGGTTCTGTTGGTTTTTACACCTTGAAGGGCTATGGCGGCTGGCAGAGGCAGGAGCGATGGCCCTTGTGCCTTCTGAGCCTCCACCTGAACACAGCACGCTCTCCTGCTGTTAATGCTTGAGGTACAGTGCTGCAAAGTGTTCCTCGTAATGTGAGGTGAATGCGAAGTAGCTGCAAATCACTGACTCTGGTGGAAGTTCCGGTCCTTTGTTGTTTGAGGCTGGCATTTGGCCATAGTCCTGCTGGATCTACTGCTTTGTTAACTCCGGGCAGCGTAACCTTCCAACCTCCAAACAATGTCAGATCTTTTTTTATGAGGTCCTTCTCAAATCAATCATTCGTTCTGCAAGTAGCGTCTTGGAGTGTTTTGTACCTGATTGTAATGCTAATTTAAACTCTGGAGGATAGTTTTTGAAGTACAGTATGTGTTTGCAATAGGCCATAGTCAATTAGTCCAGCGTTTCCCAACCACAGGTAGACACTCAAGCACTAGGGCATGTGTTATCATTTTAGATTAAATAGAAATGTGGACGTTAGAAGAGCTTTAATACCCTAAAATCTGATATTTGATAGGTGCTCTTTTTGTTTCAAAAGTAACATATACTTGCATTGATTTATAATGGTTAGAAAAAAGAATAAATTGTTCATCATAAAATTAAAGTATACCATACCATACCAATGGAATCATATGACATCAACTGGACAGTACAGAACATACAGAATACATTTATAACAAAGGCAACAAGCAACATTACATGTCAATAGAGTAAAACACATGTTACTTTTGACAGCAGTTCACTTAAGAAATATTTTACATTTACAATGCTTCAGTCGTCTCAAATTTCAACATTGATAAAAAAGAAAACATAAAGAAACTACATATTTGTCTGACTAGTAGCAAAATCAAATTGACAGACTCGGTAACAACAGAAATTACTCACAACCAGTATGCGCCATCAGGACCCTCTGACCACCACCTACCATTCAGAGAAACTCCAGGCTCATTCTAGGCAGTTTGAGTTAAGTGTCTTGCCTTAGGACACAACAGTTTGACACTTTACAGCTGCAGCCGCCCCTTTGTGGTACTTGGTGTTGCCACAGGTCAGAGTACCAACAGGGCCTGGTCCTGCTGAGCCTCAGAGGTCTGACAGGATCAGGCTTTACCATAAAGGTGCCACAAATCTTAGACCGTGATTTAACAGTGAGATGTTCCTTGAAGAGGATGATGAAGTTGCAGACTGTAACACATTGCGGCTTCGTGAAGAGTGACCTCTGGAGACAGAACCCTCCAGACACAGACACGCGCACACATACGTACATGTGCGCACACACACTCGCACACGCACACACACACACACACATGCGTGCGCGAACACACACATATACGCACACGCCTGTCTGCCTATGTTGCAACACCAAGATATGATTTGTTACATTGTCATTTCCCAGGAGTCCTGATGACTTTGAAGGCAGCAATCAGTATTGGGATCAAAATGGCTCTCATCGTTTGCAGCTACAGCCACCTGACATTTGGTACACAGAGAAATACTTGCGGCAGAAATAGCAACAAAATGTAAATGTTTCAGCAGGCAAATGTGTTGATTATAGTTTATAAGGAATTTGGCTGTTTCAAATATTTAAAGAGACAGATTCATAAAGGTGAAAACCCAAGTGTGAATGTTTGTTCATTTCAGAGGCAAGAAAGTAACTTTTATTAAAATAAAGTCACCAGTGTCTCAGAAAAACCAAAGACAGTATTGAGACTTCTCCAGGGCTCCCTTGAAAAAATAGGTTCTAAATCTCAATGCGACTTTCCTGGTTAAATAAAGAATAAAGAAAAATAACACGTACTGTATATAGTCTACACAGTTAAGGGTTGCAGTTTAGATATTTTGGCAACATATCTTTATATGATCTTTCTCACAAACATTATGCTTAGATTTATGAAAAAAGTAACCACTCTGGGATCATCATTTTGGGGAAATTGACTAAATCAAATATCCAACTTGATGGAAATCCTATGCATCTTATATTACCTACAGTATGCCATTCCTGACACAAAATTTATCTTATGGGTATGTTGTAGACTAGGTGTGCTGGGTTATGGGCTGGACATGAGAGCAGGGAACACTATCATTGGTGGAAACAGTAAACAGAGGGAGAAGGTCTGTGGATTTTGCTGCAATTTAATTTTCATTTTGAAGAAACCAAACTTAATCAAATCATCCGAGCTAATGTTTTCATACTCTTTCCACACAGCAGCCATTTACAGTACATGATGCTGTGGTAGAAACAGACTCAAATGAATTGTCAATTCACCCACAGAGAATTAGAGAATCCATTAGGATACAGGAAATGAAATATTAAAAAAAGCATATAAACCATTGGTCCTAAGGGAACTGGGATGAACGAAGTCTGAATCATTGTTTTGAATAGACTGAATAGTACATACATACATACAGGGCGACAGTAGCTCAGTTGGTAGAGCATTGGCCTTAAGGCCAGAAGGTCGTGGGTTCATTTCCCACCTCTGCACCTTCTCCACCGACTCCCACTGATGACTGCTGTC